TGTCGATCGAGAAGATGAATTTTTGGGCCATGGCTACACAAATCTCCAGAATATGACGTCTAAAAATAATCTAATTTTTTAATGGACAATACTATGTGTACACAATGATGTACACAAAGTATAACACCTCCTCATATGAAGGAGAAATTACATACAATAAAATATTCGTGAGCCCCTTTCATGTGACGGGGTGTAATCCATAAGATTTATCCTTTTTAATAGTGATTTTTTTTTTCTAATTCTTTTGTTTTGTTGTTTCTAATTTTTTGTTTTATTTCATATTATTTTCAATATTTTAATTTAAAATAATAAATTGACCATTTATCCTTTTAAATTTTAGAATTTGTTAATCAAATTAGTAGACTAATATAAAATTGGATGGAATCCATCCATTTGAATGAATAATGCTAATTAATCAATGGTTGTGATCTAGTTATCCAATAATAATAAGGAATGAAAATAATGGGAACTTTCGCTGCAATTCGCCCTTTATGTGCTCTCTGAAGCTCTCAACAAAAAAGTATTACTTTTCTTTCACTTGACTGGATTTGGGTGGTGCTATTTACCTTCATGATTTTTATATATACATCCACTTCTAAAAGATAATTATATTATATTTTTAATCTTATATAAATTTATCTAAACTGATAATAGATAAAATTAAAAAATATATATTCATTCTAAGTTCATTCACTTATATTTATTTTTATTAGGGTGAGTTTGATTACCAATATTTTTCATGAAAAATGTGTTTTTGTTACATTTTTTTCATTAAAAACATTTTTCTATTTTTTATCACGTGATCATATTTTTCTCAAAATCAAGGAAAATATTTTCTTTAGGAGGAGTATGATTTTATTTTCCAATGAATCTACTCTTTCTTTCTCTTTCTCATCTATCCACTTTCTCTCATCTACCCATCAATAAAAATTGACAAGTATAATATTTTCTAAGTTGGAAATTAAATTAATCAAATACATTGACTTGACAATTTATATGTAAATAAATTCTAGGCAATTGAATTATAAAGAATTTATTTTCTTTCCATCTAAATTTCATGCTTGCAATTAAATACGAACCTTTTTATATCCTTTTAGAATTTGCGTGTAGCTAAAATTCTAATAATCATAAAGTATCAGCCTCCACTAAAATCATAAAACCCTAAAAATCAACAAATATCATCTTCAATTGAAATCAAAACAACAATGGAAAGATACTATTAGAGGATTTTTATTTTAGACTAAAAGATGAAAGCTGTGATTTGATACTAGATTTACTACGTAGCTCATTGGAGAATATGGTTATTCAAAAACCACAACAAATAATAAAAATCTTATTTTTGTCAAAGGAATCTTATTTTAGGTTCTTAAATTAACTCTTGGAATTATGTTCAGCCAAGAAGTTGCTTTTTTAGGACGTGTGAGCATAGATTCCAAGTATCAGTTGATGGAAATAACATATTCAACCCTCATTGAGCACAACTGCTGAACCCTTCTATATTTTTTGCAAATTTTCTCCTTCGAGGATTATACTTAATGTGAGTTTACCATAATAAGTCCATTGCCAACTTAAACAAGGTGGAAGAATCTTTACATTACCTTAAGTTTCCGTTGGGACATTAAGTTCTAGATTTTCAGAGTTGTACTTATGTATCTGGATTTGAATTAAACCAACTTGCCAAAAAGAATTAACAAATGCAGTGACATATATAGAAAATCTGACTGTATTTTAAATCGTCCAATGATAAAACGTCATGCGGTGTTATGTTGACTTTTCAATTAAACTTTTATGGCAATGTAGCATGATTACCCTACTACATATCAGTTGATGACAAAGTGAATTTTATTTCAAAATTCATATATAAATTTTATTTTTATTTCAAAATTATGCAAAAACCTCAAAAAGTTGACTTTTATCGAATATAAAAATGAATACTTGTAAATCAAATATTATGGACTAACTCATATGACAAATAACACACCTACGGGACATTTAATTTTATTTTAAATATAATTTTTGTCTATAGAATTATTTATTGAATTTTTAAGAAAGTTAATGTCATATGTCATGGGGATGAATATAGTGATTTTTAAAATTTTCGAAATTGTATTACGGATGTATTTCGAGTGTGATGAATATATTAAAATTTTTGTGGTTATACAGTGTTTAAATGAATGAATTCAATATAAACAATATTAGAATGCGATGTGGATGACATTAGTAATTTTTAAAATTTTAATATTTTGATGGGGATGAATATAGAGTGAGATGTATATAAAAATTATGGATGTAAATCACCGTATCCTAACATTTTCCACCAACATTGAATGAATCGGTTGTAGATACTGTAAGCCATATAAATGGAAATAAACCGAATCATATGAAATTGGTACAACTTGATCTTTACGTAACTCAAATCGAGATATTCCGGTCTAGACGGTTTGTATTGTGTTGTATTTGTGAAGTTATCAAGATGAGTTGATGACCAAGTCCAATACGTTCGATTCAAAGCATATGCGGTCGGTCATATGCTGGTATGCCACGCGGCTAAGCTGAATGTGAACATCAATCTCTCATTCACTGTGGAATCAAGTACGCGTTGATCTTACAAAATCAGCACTTAAGAATGCCACCCCTTCTTGATTCGTCAGCCCCAAAATCAAGAAAATATTCTAAACTCTCTTTCTGTAATCAATTTGAGTGATCATGGCTGGAACAAGCTATCCTAATCCACCTATGGCTTATCCATCTATGGCTAACACGATTGCAGTGATAAGCCCACAATTCTGTGTTTCTTACCCGGTTGATCTTACAATTGTGAGGAAGTTAATGACTTTGTCTGAGGGTAATTTCGGAGTTACCGATGTAAATGGCAACATAATGTTCAGAGTCAAAGGCAAGCTCTTTAGTCTTCATGATCGCCGTGTCTTGTATGATGCTGCTGGTAACCCTCTTATCACTTTTCAACAAAAGGTATAAGTTTTCACCTTTTTGCTTATTTCTCAGTCTTATGGATCTTGAAAAAGGTTGATTTTAATGTACTTACGAGTGAATTTTAAATAATTTGATTGGCCCATTAATTAATCTTCTTACATTAGTGATAATTTTTGAAATCTTACCTGTTGGGGTTATTGGGAACTTCCTCATTAATTGATAAAAATTGATGAATTTGCAGTGTGGATCAAGTTTGGAATCAATTAGTAGATCTTATGCATTACAAACAGATATTATGATAAGCAATGCCTTTGATTTTTATCTGGTATCACTTCAATATGGTGTTAGAATCATCAAAGAGATCCAAAGAACTATCGTTTATTGAGTTTGATGGTTATTGTCAATATAACAACCAATATGTGACCCTAATCCAAATGATTTACCACTACCTGCATGTAATAGCTGAGTGTTTTGTCACTAATGGCCCTTTTGGCAAGGTTTTGAAAAGTGAAAATTGCTTATAACTTATGAGACGAAGAAACTGCTTTTGAACCTACCTAGATAATTTTCTGTAATTGCTTTGTCGCACTAGAAAAGCTTCCTCAGGAAGCAGAAGTGCTTCCAAACGGGCCCTAAGTCTTTGGGTTTGCCGTAAATGAGATAGTCAAATTGTTTTATAAATCTCTAATCACCTTCTCCACACTTGGTTTCGACTTCAGTTACTATCTGCCCACAGAAGATGGCAAGTATTCCGAGGAGAGAGTACTGATGCAAAAAATCTGCTTTTTTCCGTGAAAAAGTCGTCTCTTCTTCAATTTCGAACCAAGTTAGATGTGTTCATGGCCTCTAACACCGCTGAGAATGTCTGCGACTTCAAAATCGAAGGCAGCTGGCTGGAGAGGTCATGCGTTATATATGCCGGGAATTCTAATAATATCATTGCTCAGGTGAGATCACAAATCATGTATGTAATTCTTTTGGTTTCTTCAAGGTGATAAAATTTTAGCTTTGGTCTAATTAATGGAAATGCAGATGCACAGGAAACACAGTGCCCAAAGCATTCTGCTCGGTAAAGATACATTTGGGGTGACTGTATATCCAAACGTCGATTATGCCTTCATTGTTGCACTCGTGGTCATTCTCGAGGAAATTAACGAGGACAGATCGGGTGAAGATTGAAATCACCATCAGACGATGATCGTGTTATTCCGTAAATGTAACCTCATCCATGTATTTGGATATTTCCCTTCAACCAATCATGTCAAATAAATGTAGAGTTGAAGGAGAGATCTGAGCCCGTGAAAGGAGGATTGCTTATCTCATTGCCGGTACTCTAATAAATCGTTTTCTGTTGAATTTGTGTAAGAATTGGTGAGCTTCTTCATGATATGAAAGTATTGTGAAGAACATTATGATGTTACTGTTGTCACTTTTTTCTGTTAAAATTTTGTTTTGGATTATAGTTCGTCTGAAAGTAGGCTATAACTCGAGTATTACTTTGAAAAATGAAGCATATATATAAGAAAATCTGGAAAGGTGAAATGATAAGACAACAGGAGGAAAAAACTTATAAAGCAGCAAACTGAACAGCATTTTTTTTTTTTTTTTTTT